TGTTGTTGTGTTGTTGTTGTGTTGTTGTTGTGTTGTTGTTGTGTTGTTGTTGTGTTGTTGTTGTGTTGTTGTTGTGTTGTTGTTGTGTTGTTGTTGTGTTGTTGTTGTGTTGTTGTTGTGTTATTGTTGTGTTGTTGTTGTCGTTGTTGTTGTCGTTGTTGTTGTTATTGTTATTGCTGTTGTTATGGTTATCATTATTGTTTTGCGTTCTTGTTGTTTTTCCAGTTTTAGCAAAATTAACAAGGATTTTCCTATTCTCAAAAATACATTTTGTTCCTGTCATTCTAATCTGATAGATTATGCTAGTATTTTTTAATGCATCAATAATATAGTTTTATTTATTGATATAAATTTATTAAAAATTTTCCTGAATTTTAGATGATGTAATTATTTTATGATAATTATTGAATAAACTTGCAGTTGCCAAGCGCAGAATTGGATGTATCACTGGAAGAATATGTTGATATTTGTTTGGCATTATTAGACATACCTGTGCAAAAATCTCGAATTCAATCACTTCATGTACTTTTCACATTGTTTGCCGAATTCCGTAATTCACAACATTTTCGAAATTTGGCTAAAGATATTTTTATGAATAATAATAATAATAATAAGCAAAATAATCATAACGAACCGGAACGACTTGAATTGTAACTGTACAAAATTTTGTATTTTTTCCATTTTTGTCGTTTTTTGCTTTACACTTATTTGCAACTGTTACTTTCATTTTGGAATCAATAAAGTAAACATTCCGACAATTTAGCGCTTATAAATTTGCGAAATAAATTAAATAACATATTGATGTCATATTATAAATGATTGAAAAAACCGTGAGAACATTTTATTAAAAATATTTCTGGTCAATAGTTTGGTACAATACAGACATAAATGTTATATCAGTTTCATGGCGAGGTTTTTCTGCTAGTTCACCTTTTAATAAATGAACAAATTTATTTTCATTCATTCTAATTCCATTTTTTTTTTCTTATTTCTCATTTTTGGCATTGATATACTGTCTAATATTATGATCCCTTTTGTAGTGTTAAAGTAAGGAACAAAAGATTTGAGTAGTAAAAACGACTACGAAATGTTAAATGTAAACCTTTTACCTAGAAGAAATTAAAATTTCCTTTATTGCAGAAAAATTTGAACAGGAATAAAATTTCAATCATTGGTATTTGTTAAAATACGTTTTAAAAGTAAAAAATACACATTCTTAAATAAGACATTAAATTAATAATGCAATGCAAACATGCGTCGTACAACTAACAATTGTAACAATTTCTTTAGTTTTTAGCATTCATATTGAAGATGAAAAATTCAGTTTTCAAATTCAATTAGTTTCATTTTACCGATTTTATATTAAACATCTATTTCAAATTATTCAGATATTACTTATTGCTAATAAATGCATTCATTACCATTCTATTTTTCTGCTCCTTTACTATGAATTACAAAAAAAAAAAAAAAACCATAAATAAATAAATTGCAAACCTAATTGAATAAAATAATGAAACAAGAAATAAGAATAAAATAATAGATTATTTGATTGATTTTTTGCGTCTTTTATTTTCTGCACTGTGAATTTTTTCGTTTTTTCGTTTCAAATGTCAATAAAAGAAAAATGAAAAAGAAAAAGAAAGAGGAATGGAAAGGAAAAAAACGAAAAATAAATTACTGCAAAGCAATGAATGATCATTAAATGGAAAAAAAAGAACAAAATTTATTGTTATACATTTTGCATTTATGTAAGAATCAATATGTAATATAAAATCGGGAACGAAAGAAGGAAAGAAAAAATTAATATAATTTTGATAGAAAAGGATGAAATTGCATTTCATTTCCCTTTTTCCAGTTCACTAAATTAACATTCGTTCAACTGTATTAATTATCACTTCTGTATTATTATTATCATTGTTATTATTATCTTTACTATTAT